TTCTGGTTACGTGATTTGCGTCAGTGGCACATCCTTTTACCCCGCCCATTGACTTCCTGCTTCACTGGACACTGCTGTTAGGGGGTATGGATTTAATTGAAAGATGAACTCATACATTAGAGAGGGTTTGGCATAGGGTATGTGTTTATTTGTAGCTGCATACTATGAGTTTCTATCCAGCACCATCTCAACCAGAAGCTTGGGAAGTATGACTGTTTTAGTGTATTTGGTCGATATGATTCTGTAATTAGGCTCATCATAATTGTCAGCACCAGGCCCACTGGGCTCTTAACCTGGCCCTGGGTCTACTTATATACAGCAGGCATTATAGTATTCATATCTGACACATTTATTATTATTATTATTATTATTATTATTAATAATAACTCGGCCAGGGACCTGCAATCTGTCAAGTGCTTACAACTGATATGGAGGGCGCAAATAAGTCTTTCCCCAGGGAAACTCATGACCTCACTACACCTCTGAGAGAGATTTTTAAATAAAGAGCACTGGTTTCAAAGCTTCTCTATGAGTCAATATCTGACAGTGTATGTTCCCTGTGTCCCAATGCTTCTCTGTAAGAAGGGGGTGGAGTGGAGCTGTGGCAAGTACACAGTAACTTTCTTTTTTGGGACAAAGTTGGGGAGGGGCCTAAAATGAAAAAAACTAAAACACTCTAACATTAGCTATAAGTTGGAGTGTTCCTTTTACAATAATTTCTTCAACTCTTGCATCTACCAACATATTTTTTTTGTCTCTCAATTAGTTGTTGTTAAAGCCCTTAACTGAATAACTGTAAAGTGCTATGGAAAATGGTGTTATATCAATGTTGGTGCTATATAGAAATATACAACTTTTCTTGCAACTTAATGGGACACTCTAAGCAGAAAAACTTTTTTAATCAAGTCATTTTATTGTATATATCATGCCCCTGCATTCTCAATGCTCAATTTTCTCCTATTGAGGAGTTAAATCATTTTGTTTGTGTAGCCCTAACGACACCCCCTTGCCTGTGACTTCCCTAGCTACCCTACACACTTCCTGTAAAGAGAGATCTATTGTTTTCACTTCATTTATTGCACACTATGTTTATTTTAGAATTTCTTATATCCTGCTTTGTTAATAATCTGTTAGAGCCTACAGGAGCTTCATGTGTGTTTAAAGTTCAATTTCATTGTTGTACTTATTGAAAAAATGTTTAGAAAGATTATACATTGAAAGAAAAAAAAAATTGTTTTGTTACTGATTTAACTTAATGGTAGAGAATTGAGCAATGCGACTGCAGGAGCATTATCTATATACCAAAACAGCTCATTAAAGGATCACTATAGGGTCAGGAATACAAACATGTTTTTCTGACCCTATAGTGTTAACACCACCATCTAGCCCCCCTGGGCCCCTCATGCCTCCATAAATATAGTATAAATCTTACTGTATTCAAGCCAGAAGCTGTAAATCTGCATGCTGTTAGACTCAGAAAAACAAGCAGTCTGCTGACATGTCGTAGCCTGATCCAATCACAGTGCTTCCCCATAAGATTGGCTGAGACTGACATAGAGGCAGATCAGGGGCAGAGCCAGCATGATTCAAACACAGCCCTGGCCAATCAGCATCTCCTCATAGAGATGAATTGAATCAATGAATCTCTATGAGGAAAGTTCAGTGACTGCATGCAGAGGGAGGAGATACTGAATCACAGGATGCTGTGCACAGTGCTGCCCTGTGCTCTGCTGACAGCAGATCTGAGTGGATGGAGGCATATTATGAAGCTGAAGTTGTTCAGATACTATAGTGTCCCTTTAAGCTAAAATTGTTTTGCTGCTTAGAATATAACTTTACATCATATGTGTGGCATAAGATCTGTCTTGAATTGCAATGTGACAAGTATTTAATGCCAGTTTTCCTGTAATTAAATATTTCATTTGACATTGTGACAGCATTCAAAAATGTATGGCATGATGGTGACTAAAATCTTTCAGTTATAAGGCAATTTCTAGAAGATTTACTTGTAGCAACAGTATTAAAATAAAAAGCATTTCAATGTATTTTGTGTATTTGTAACACATTTGTGTTTTCAAGGTGTAAATTAAATGCCTGTATGGATTATAAAGACAATTAGAGGGATGTAGTACTTTTAAATGGACAAGGTCTACATGTATGACATCTAATTCAGGTTATTATTTTTAATCAATAGGGTTGCAAAATGTTTGTTGTGATTGAGCACTGTGAATTGCAAGTTCCCTAAATGTCAGTGTAGGATGATGGGAGTCAAATTCCCTGGCTGCATTCTCAGTTAGCTCTTGCTGCCTGCCATTGTTAGAGAAATACAATGCCTCACTCTCCACAGCACCTCACCCAGCATATGAATAAAGACAGGATGACCGTCACTATGCTAGTGATACTAAAAGGGGCGACCATCCTGGGTGAAAACATGGAAGAGGCACCAACCCCATCAGACTTATCTTGCTGCAGCCAGGAGAGGCTTATTTTAACTTAGTGACAGAAAATTGCTGAGTGATTTACTTAATTGTTTTGCTATACTCTATACAAAATGTTTGGACTGATAATGATGATATAAAGCTTTCTCATTATGTTGTTCCAAGCAATTGGTCATGGTCTTTGGATACTTTGGTTCAAATTCCTTTAAAATTGTTTGATGAAAAGAGGTGACATCTTTGTATCCTATACCCTACTATAAGTTGGAGAAGCTTGAGGGTCAACATCAATTTTAAAGTTTTGTGAGCGATACAAATTGAACATTCCCTACAGGTGCAAAGTTCCCAAGGTACCTCTGTACTTCAGTCACCATAACCACTACAGCATATTGCAGTGGTTATCATGCTAGTAAGTGGTTTCTGGATATTGCTATTTCTTTTTTGATTTGGATTTTTTGATTTTTTTTATCTTTATCTATGGACCTTGGTTTTAAGCCCCTACACTGGGATAGTTTACCCATTAAGCAACACAAGCCATTGGACTCACAACCATGATGGAGACTGACTTGAATAGCACACGCTGGCTATGCATGATAACAAAGTACAAATACTTGGCCAGTTTTATTAAGAATATAGAATTTTACAAATTATGTCAGTGGGAAAGAGGTAGAGCCTGAGCAACAGAGATGAAGCCAAAAATCATTAAAATGGGCAGTATTTTGAAGGTAAATATTCAGAGACCGCAACCTAGCATCACAACCTCTACAATAAGTTGTATTTATTATAGATCTTAGAGTGTCACTTTAATGACAGGGTTGTAGCTTAGTAGCAGCCAGAAAGGAAGCTCAAACATGTGTTCATTTCCTTGCAGATGGAATACACAATTTTTGGCAATCCAACTGCTGTGGACTTTAATGTTTTTTTTTTGTTTTTTTTAAAGATACAAAATTTAGGTAAAATAAAAAATATGTAACCATGAAGTGAAAAATAATGACAAACTATCCATAAAGTACTCCATTGGTGTATGATTTATGATGCCATCCACTATTATATTATTTATGTATGTCTATGTATCTATATATATATCATTCATTGCATTTCTTCGAAAAATCAAAAGCAGTGCTTTTCATTGCGTTGTAAACCTTCTTTGCAACTAATGGCTTAAATCCTTATTTCTAAACAGTTATTCACTAAGCGCAGGAACTGTCAGGAAGAAGAGAATTTAAAATCTTTTTAAAAAAGGCCAAATGGCAACATTTTCCAATTTGCGTAAAATGTGCGATTCCCTTGGAAATTCCTTACGAATACCAGTTAATGAGTAACCCTATAAAATCTTTCTTGGTTTACAAAGCATGCTAGGAGAAGTTGAATTAAACAGGAAACTTAATAAGAAAGAGATTTTTTTGTTACCTAACATACATTCATTTCCCAGGTAAAGCAATATGATGCTTTTGCTGCTTGCCAAGTTTGTTGCAGTTTTAATAAAAAACAGTGTTATTGAGCAGTGCAGGAAGTATTTCTTACCTTGGCTGGTTTTGCAGGAAGAGATGTTACTGCTGTGAAGCAGGAATAAAAAGTAGACAGTACTCCAAGGTATATCCATGGCAGAATCCGTAATTCAGTTAATACGTATTTGTAAAAATGAAAGTTTAGCTAGTTTACAGTAAACAAAATTGATGTAACTTCAACGCAAATAGAGCAGAACTGCGCGTTCCCTTGAAAAAAAAAACACAATCATCGTTAACGAAGTCTATCATCACTATACTTGGCCAAATAAAACAAAAAGATTTCTCGCTAGGGGAGGAAATAATGCCTTTTAATGTTCAAAATAGAAGTGTATATTTTTGCTATGTAAGCCGAATTGATACACTTTTATTTTGCTTTAAGATGTAAAATTCCCATTAAAAAAAACAAAATACTTTCATACACTTTTGCATTACTGTTTCAAAAAAAAGTAGATTTTCAGTAGATTTTAAAGGGAAGAATATTACCCCATGTACACATTTTCACATCTATTAGTTTGCTGAAGAATATTTAAACAAAAAAAGTAGTCGGATTTCGTAACCCCCCAAAAATATATTTTAAGTGATGAGCACAGAAGAAGTGTTGTCTGGTGGAAAGAGGCTGTATCCTGGTAGAGATAGACTGTCCTCCCCCCTCACCACCAGCTGCACTATACAAAGGTTTCTGCTGGAAAGGAGGAAAGAGGGAGAAGGAGTGGAGGGGGGAGTTTGGGAAGGAGGGAGGTATGCTCCGCCTATAGAGCTTTCTTTTCATATCTGCCTCCCGCTGTTCCTCTCTCTGTATTATGTGTATTAGACTGACAATCACTCATTTCCCTTTTGTGTTCACTAAATTGTAAGCTGATATGCCCTGTTATAGGTTATACACCACATTGGAACTTATTTGTACCACTTTGTAAGCTCCTTTCAATATTGCGTATTCGATTTTAAGTCCTATTGTGCCAACTGTAGCTGCTCTTTGATTTGTGTGTAAGTATGTTATAATAATATACAACATCCAAAAGGAAGTTAACCCTTTGACAGTTCCAAACTGATTCAGGCCCCCTCGTCAGTTCTGTTGATGTTGAAGCAGTTAATGACGATTCATGTAGCTGAATCCTGCCTACCTGTTAAATATTTCGGATGCATAGAGAGGAAGGCAAATCTTCCCCATGGAACCCCACGCTAACAGGAGGAGTGTTAGGTGCTGTGGAATACTCCAGTGTTTTGCAAACCACTTGAAAAGAAAACAAAAAAAAAAACCAGAGACTGCATTCATAGAATCTTTGAACCATAACAGTCAGCTAAATTGTAGTGGTTATGGTGCTTGCAGTGTTTCATTAAAAGATAACACGGTATGAAACTTGAATGAATTCAGTTTAAATCCCTTTTACATGTATACATGTACCTTCTTCTTTTCGTAATGTACTGTTAATGTTTGCTCTCTGTGTGGCAAAAAAATAAAAATTTAAAAAATAAAAGGCTTTTAAAAGTTTTATTTACCGTTCGATCTTTCTCAATCATGTTATAACTAGTCCTGCCTTTGCTTGATAAAACATGGATGAGGTGTCCCTTTTCATGCTAAAATATTTTATACAGACAAGTTTTGAAGGGCAAATAAAAGAGAATATATTTTGACAGTTTATTTGCTATGTGTGTGGTATGGTTTTCTGACTGCAGTCAATCTAGAGTAGACTGAATTATTTGGAGTTCAATACATGTTTAAAGAAATCAGTCTCTACTGTGTTTAATGTTGAAAATGTATTTTTTTTTTTCCCCATGAAATATACAGCTATGGCGATTGAAGATCATTTTGCATATAAAATAGTTTTTTTGTGGTAAATCATTTTAATCTTTATTGTGTCCTGGCATAGTTCTCCAGCATTGAAATGAGTTCATGACAAAGTCTGTTTTACAGGCAAACTTCTGCAATGTGTGGGATCACTCTAAAGCTTCAAAAAGGCTCAAGGGAGATCTACTCTGGGCAGAGGGCAATGGTCAGGGGAAGGAGTAGGGGAGACCAGTTAGCAGCTGAATCTAATTACACACTTCCTTTGCCTGATTAAGTGGAAGAGAAACGTGATTGCACAGAGCAGGGTGTATAGGCAAAGCGTATATAGGGACGTTTATAGGGTTAAAAATTGGTCAAAGTGGGAAAGGAAAAATGCACTCGGGTAATGTTCAAACAAGTAATAGGAGGCGTTACATCTTTAATGTGTATGAAGCATTTGTAAGCACAATAGAATTTGCCATATCAGGCAAACAGGGAGAATTAGAAGAGTTTATAGGGATGCAAATGGGAGGGTCGAAAGTAGTTTAAAAGTGAGAGGACATGTTTTGGGGGAAAATGTAAGTTATGCTAATGCAGTTAGTCATAAACATATTACATGACTAGTACTTTGGGCTTATGACTGGTAACAAAAGCAACAGACTTATCTACTCATGCTGGTACGCCTATATTGTCTGAATTAAATGAATATAGCACACATGTTCTTTCATGCCTACCTGTGCAGCAACAATATGATAGCTGGTCATGTACAGAAGAGCTAAATATAAATATGAAATTCAAGCAATCCTATGTGTGAAGTGAATCATATGTCATGAAAGGTTACAGACAATGCAACAGGAAAAATCAGCACATTTTATTGAAATAGATATGTGAACTTTATCAACAACAATAACTATTGGAAAAAAAACATCTGGAGCTTAAATGCCCAAGTTAAAGATATGTTCTCCCTTGCCATTGTGAACTCAGTAGCTATTTTTAAACTATGCATATTCCACCCCCAGGTGAGCTTACATGCCAAAGAAAAATGCCATGACAACAATTAAGATTTTAGAGGCCAGAAAAACACAAAACAGGAATGTCCAAATCACCCACATACATAGTCCAAATTATGAAATTGTTCAGGATCAAAATAAAATCAAGTCCAGGCAAAGGACTTCAACTACTTAGACAAGTGGCCGTCGAGAGATTACCCAGTCAGCAGAGGGATATGCTAAATAAACCAGTTATGGAAGACTTGTGAATCCGAACATGAAATCCGAACCATAACACCATGAAAAAAAAAGATGGCTTTGATGTGAATTATTAAAATCATCAAAAGACATATCACATTTCATATCATATCATCACGGATTGATTTACTCTCTCAACTGCCCAAAGGTCAGGTTCTTCAATGCGTCCCGGTTCGTTATATATACATATATGCAAGTTTCTCTGTATGTGAACAAGTGAACATGACCAGGTTGGTGGTTGGGTGGCAATATGTGACTGGGTGGGTGGAGCTTGGAGGCCATATGTGTGAATGTGACAGACTGATTGAGTATACCTGGAAGGTGAGATGGGGATAAGTAGGAGAATATGACCGGTTCACATTCTCCTACTGGCTGGGTGGGTAACCGAATGGTAATGTGTTACAAGGCGAAAGTGTCACGGATGTGTGTGTGTTTTAGTGGAGGTGAGGAGGAGGTTTTGTTGCAGGGTTCGTGTACCTGAATAAGTAACTAGGAAGGGATGTGGGGTAGACAAGGTGTGTGTATGGGAACAGGCTGCATATCTACTGAAAATAGCACCTATGGGAAACTTTTAAATTGCACCCCTCACGGTGTGGGGGGAGGGGAGTGTGACAGAATGAGGGTGTGAGTTTTACAAGATTAGTGTGGTAGCGCTTAATTTTGTAATGGTGAGAGGGGTGGTGATTGTGACCAGGTTGGGGTGTCAGCTACTGGGATGACTGTGGCAGGGTAACAACATATGGGGGCTTTATATGATTGACAGACAGCATGTGGGGAGGCTGTAATAAAACACATTCTGCTTAACTCCCGGGCAGGAATGGAGCACATATACATTCCCTGGTGAAACATGGGACATCAGTGAGGGACCCTTTCAAAGGGAGATCTTTTGAATTCTCTGCTGGTTTAAGAAGGGCTCCACCTGGCTTTGATCTGCCATGCTTGCTATACCCTAGGTACGAATAGAAAAAATAAAGTCACTCAAACAACAACAAAGTGGGTGAGTGAAAGCTGAATAGTAGGCAATTATCTTGTCTAAATAACTGTTAAGTTTAGCTGGACCAGCACTAAATTTCCAATGTAAAACTAGAAAAGTAAGAAAATGAGGCTTCTCCACTAACTCATAATGGGACCATAGGGTCATCCAGTAAATTAAACTAATGGTAGCTTTATTAGACTGCTTGTTTTAGCCCAGGATTTGCCCTGTCCCCAATCTAGATTAACGTAAATATACCAGGGTGAGAGTAAATACCTTATTGGTGGGGTTTTCCGAGACCAATAGACTCAATAGCTAAGGAGTAATATACAGTCCTAACAAAGGTTAATTAGAACGTTTGTAGGACAGTAAGTTAAAAAAAAGCCTCTCTCCCTGGTAAGTTCGCTAGCTAATTAGTAGAGATAGAATACAAAGAGTGAGATAATAATTAAATCAGTGAAAACGCTGCATGTCTATATTAAATAGACATCCCAAGTGCATAGGTGATAGATGCCCAACACCCACTCAGAGCATAACGCCTGACACGCCTTTCGGTGCACTAGCATGTGCACCATCGTCAGCAGCCTCCTATTATAGGGTTAAGCCCTGCAGACACAGCTGGAGTGTCTTTACTGGTGCATAGATCCTAAGTGGTGTTCCCTTAGGTATCTGATTATTTGTTTGGTATACCCTAGGTACGCCACTGCAAGCTGGGAGTGCAGTAAGGTGAGGGGGCGGGCCTGACTGTCATGCTGAGCAAATGTGTTTTGACTGAGCTCCTCAATCCTCTATATTTTTCAATTTGAAGCTCCTCAATCCTCTATATTTTTCTAATTTGAAGCCTATTTATATACTGATCAGCCAGAAAATTAAAACCACTGACAGATAAGTGAGCAACATTGATTATATTGTTCTAATGGCACCTGTCAAGGGGTGTGATATATTAGGCAGCACAGATCCGATCCTGGCCAGGTGCCTAAGCGGCAGGAGGTTGGGGGCGCAGTGCGGAGCAGGCCGATAGGCTGTAAAAGGGAGCCCAGCAGGTGACTAGCTTGCCACGTAAGGGCACCCCCGGAGCAACGTTTCTGGGATACTCTGCAGCAATATACCAGACTGGGGTTAGGAAGGAGGCAGGCAACGGCGAGGGAGTGCTGTTTGTGCTTATGATCTTCCTGCTCCCTCGCGCACCCTCTGTGGTGATGCAGGTGGTCGGAATATGACGTCATTCTGGCCCCGCATCACTAAACAGTACGAGGGAGGAGAGAAGAGCAGGAAGACCATGAAAGCCACTGGACCCTGGGGACAGGACCCAGAGGACTCCTAAAGCTAGGAGCAACAAGCAATACAATTAATTTGTGAGTGTGTGTATGTGTAAGACTGTGTAAGTGTGTATGTGTCTGTCAGTGAGTGTGTGTGTCAGTGAGTGTGTGTATCTGTCAATGAGTGTGTGTGAGTGTGTCTGTAAATAAGTCTGTTATTGAGTGTGTATCTGTCAGTGTTTGTGTGTGTGTCAGCGAGTGTGACTGTCAGTGTTTGTGTGTTTGTCAATGTGTGTGTGTGTGTGTCTGTCAGTGAATGTGTGTGTCTGTCTGAGTGAGTGTATGCGTCTGTCTGAGTGAGTGTATGTGTCTGTCAAAAAGTGTGTCTGTCATTGAGTGTGTATCTGTCAGTGTTTGTGTGTGTGTCAGCGAGTGTGTCTGTCAAGTATGTGGTTGTCTGTGTGTGTGTGTGTGTGTGTGTGTGTGTCTGTCAGTAGTGTGTGTGTCTGTCAGTGAGTGTGTCTGTCAGTAAGGTTGTTTGTGTATGTCAGTTAGTGTGTGTGAGTATATGTGTCTTTTAAAAAGTGTGTGTCATTGAGTGTGTATCTGTCAATGTCTGTGTGTGTGTCAGCTAGTGTGACTGTGTTTGTGTGTGTGTCAGCGAGTGTGTCTGTCAAGTATGTGGTTGTCTGTCAGTGAATGTGTGTGTTTGTCAGTGTGTGTGTCTGTCTGTCAGGGATTAGGAGAGACATTAATGAAGAATCAGGAAAAACGTACAAGGGGTTGAGGAGTTGTGAAGTAACACACAAACATTTATTCTAATCTATTGGCATGGTAAGGACTAACCTATTCCAAAACAACTGAAATGGAAACAAATATCCAATTCATTTCTTTTCAGATCAGCTATATTGTCCAAGATATATTGTTTTGGCTTAAATGTTGACACACCTTTAGGTAGGGCAAGGGAAAGGGCCAAGAAGGGGTGCTATAAGGATTTTTCGAAAAGGGTGCTTAACGGCCTAATGCTGACTTTATTTGTCAGTGTGTGTGTCTGCTAATAAGCAT